GATTCATTTGTCCTTTTAACTAACGGTTACGAGGCAACAAGCTTTTAATAGCTTTATCTATTAAAAAAAAAAAAAAAAGTTAAGCGTAGTTTCGTGACGATATTATACATCATTGTACGTGAATCTGAGCAATTAATTGTGATCTATATAAAATATAATTGTATTGCATTGAAAAAAAATTCTCAGAAATTAAAAAATTTAAATCAATTTAAACATTGATAACATAACGTTACAATTATATTTGAATTTGAAACGAGATTCAATCAGATTTTAATCAAATTATAAACATGGTCACAAATTTATAATCGAATAATATTGTTCTACGTGTAATAAAAACGAATGTTATTTTCAATAAAACATATCACAGAAATATTTACGCAGAAAGTCATCAAAGTATATATGTGCAGGATTTTCAGAACTCGATTTATAATTCGGTTAAAATTTCGAGCGCACAGCCAATGCAAATTGTATTCGTGTTTTTCACAGTGACAGTGAAATAAGAACAAAATTATTTTCAGTGAACCGAGAAATGTACGAGGCATGATCGTCCTGGTTCCTGGCTTAATTTATTTGTATATCTAAAAAATAGCGCCGAATGTTTGTTATTGTTAATAACGTTAGTAATGATACCATTTTTTATCGTTACTTTTTTTTTTTAATTTTTTGTTTTTTTTTTTTTTTGTTTTTTTGTTTTGCTTTCGTTTAAGTTTACACTACGGCGATGATCTAACGTTAATTTGTATTCGTGTGTTTGTCAGTTCTTACGAGGTTTGCTATATCGTTTATCTTTCTCTCTCTCTCTCTCTCTCTTTCTTTTTTTATCGAATAGTTAATTTCACGTTATCATGTTTTCCTGTTCTCAAATTCGACAAGCAAGCATTAGAGGAAAATCATGTTTCAAGAATTTTTTCGACGCTGAAAACATTCTTCGAGACGGCAACGAATTTTTATAACCTTAATCGAGTCAAGTATTGATCGTTGATTTATTTGAATTTTTAATATTTAATTGGATAAAATTCACAAAATTATTCACATAAAATATCTGTTTTGTAGCTTATGTTCGGTATACAACACATCACTTATTTCAAGGATTCATTCCTCGCACCTTATAAAAGTAATGATGACGTCAAATGTAAGGCGGGAACGTTTAAAGTATATTTTAAAATATGGAGAATATGGAAACATTGAAACACGCAATTAAGATGATAATAATAATAATAATAATAAGTAATATATGATATAGAATACGATTCAATTTCCAGTCATGGTATTTTAAAACTTATTTTTTACCATTCATTGTAATGATTATTTAAAAAAAAGTGGCAATAACTTTTCGCTAAATAATGGTCCCAATGATCAATTGCTCGCTCTATAACTTTTTCTCTATAATCTTTTTTCTTTTTTTTAAACTTTTTTGGTTTAAAAAGTTTAAATGTCAATACGTTCGAACACTTCGTCTTTTCTTTTTTAAAAATTCTTCCTTCTTTCTTTTTTTTTCTTTTTTTTTTTTGTTTTCAATTAAAATTCGTTGACGGTGACGAAGAACGATGCACTTTGATAACCGTATAGATCTTTTCTCTTTTATTTCATTATTGACTATCGTTACGAGGTTCTCTAATTGTGATTAGAGTTTCGATTGACTGTCGTGTATTGTATTACAACATGAAAACGAGACAGGTATAGCTGTGAACATTATTGAATGTGCAGATCAAATTTGCCACCGACCATCCATCCGACCTGTTTAAATTAGTTGTTTCCGGTTTTCACGACACAGACGTGGTCTCTGTTCATTTGTGTTCCCCATATTATTGAACGTTGCATTCGAATATTGATTTGTTCGACAGAGACGAAAACGTATCGGACAATTTTCGAGCTGTTCCTTTCTCGTTGGAATGCGGTCAGAACCAGACTCGCTTAACTCATCGTTAATTAAATGATAGAAATTAAATATCTAAGAGAAAACAGTCACTATGACTAGGAACCTTATGCTTACAATTATATATATATATATATATATATATATGTATAAGAACGTGAAAAAATAATTGAATATATTTACACGTTTAACAGCCAATCTAGTCTTATAGAATTGAACGAAGGAATGTTAGGCAAGTCTATTTCTGACTTTTCGCTCAAATATTTTGTACAAGCAATGTACACGTGATTCAGATCTCTTATTAAAATTCAAAACCAACGTGTCTCTGTTATTCAAAGAGCACGTTTTTTTTTTTTTTTTTTGAATATACTTTAAATAAATATTTCAAATATCTTGTTACTACAAGTTACGAAGAAACAAAGAGGAATTTCACTTCTACGTTTTGTTCCATTCCAATGTTAATTCCAAATCTTTCTTTTCCCTATTTATTTTATTTCTAAGTTTCGAATCAATTGCACGTTGCTGGTTGCACGTTGAACTTCTCGATCGAAGGGGTTCGACACCCTTTTGTTGAACAAACATGGCGCGAAGAAAATGTACACACGTTGCATCAACGTTATACGACGATATATTTCCTTTCTCCCTTTGGTATCTCGTACAAAAAACTTAAATAGCTAAAGCTCGTTCGTTCTTGCGCCCGTTTAAACTTACTACTTAACGGGAACTAACCGTGTACATAATAATAATCGGTCGATCCTTAAGTGTTCTAATCGCTGAAAATGTTTCTCGTACCAAAATATCTTCTACAGTCGTTATAAAAACGCGTTTTTTTTCTTTTTTTCTTTTTTTCTTTTTTTTTCTCCTCCCTCCCCTCCCTCACGCGAAAGCAACAGCGACCAAATTAAATTAGAAGAACGACCAGTTCACCTATTATACTACAAGGACTAATAAGCCCATCGATTCAACCGGGGCAACCTAAGATAAAACGATACAATACAAGCGTAGCTCGTTGACTAGAGGATAAGTTATTATTTTATTTTATTATTATTATTTTTTTTTCTTTTCTTTTCTTTCTTTTTTTTTTTTCTTCCTTTTATTTTATTTTTTGCGAGCTGGTGCTTGTGCTCTTTGGTTTTTCGTTCCATTCAGCTGAATATTTCTTTTTTCGCCGACATTCCTTTCGACGCTTCAGTTTCTTTTCTTTTCTTTTCTTCTTTTTTTTTTTTTGTTTTTTTATCGTTTAATTAATCATAACGCAGAAATACGTTCTAAAATTAATATCACGATTCGAGGTGTTCTACTTACGAGTGAAATATATGACGGATAAAAGAGCGACTAAGACGACTAAGAATAATAAAATCGAAGTTTTGATTCGCGTAAAAATACCTACATTTGCCCTTACAAACGTTGTTAAATATTTAACGAGATAACTCGACTATTCGCAACCACGTATTCATTCAATAGACTAGACTAGTTTAAAGGAATCTACCTACGTTTTGTGAGAATCATCATTTTACAAAAATCTCCAAATTTCTTTCGCTCACAACAACTTATTCATTAGGAACTCAACATTATAAAATCCAAGAAAACTGTTAATTAATCTAAACGAGAATTAAAAGAAATGACCGTAAATCTAGTAAGAGAATAAATATTTCGGAAAACTTATTCGACTAGAGTTTCCTTTGATCAATAATCGAAAGAATCTGACTAGAGACCAGTTGCTCGATTTGTAATTCTACGTCTGTCGAATTCCTTGACACACCTTTGTCCACCGTTTCTGTTGCAGAGAAAAAAAAAAGAGAAAAAGTGGAAAAAATCGCGATCTCGTATACTTTTGACAACGAGGAAATTACAGGAGTACTGTTCTATAATTTAGGGGAGCGGAACGAGAGAGCGACCCTTTCGCTACCAATGGTCATTCCGGCATTCAACAGGTGGTCCAGTTTACGTGAAATGTTGATGAAAACCTTCGACGTGTGCCCATCCCCACCGCCTCCATTGTGCGGCGATGGAAGTTCGGAAAAAGGATGCCTCGAGGAAATTACACTTGCGTGGAAAGTTTTCCGCGGATTGGACACTGGTTTCGTATCGAATGTCAGACACTTCGACGAAGAAATGACTTTTTTCACGAGCGAATCATTTTATCTTTGATCGAGAATTTGAACGATCGTAGAAGAAGATTGGAGTATCTTATAGGATCGAAGAATAAGATGAGTGATGAAATATTAAGTTAAAGTGAGTAGATACTAGTGAAGTTTTTTTTTTTTCTTTTTTTTCTTTGATAAAGTTTATATACGTTGGATCACGTTGGTTCATCATAGATTCTGTTCTCGTTTTCTCATTTTAAATTGCAAGCTGGGGATAATAAGTTAGGATCAAATTGCTTTTTCCTAGATGGATTAGGGTTATTTATTTTGTATCTTCTATAATAGAGAGATACAAAAAATATATTTGCATATTATGAATTAAATTAGAGTACATTTTGTAGATACATCACTTGATAATATTTTTATAATTAAGAAAATACGTGCAAATTCCTTTTTTCAATTGTATAGTCAAGATTAAGTCATAAGTGATCTCATTTTCAGATGATATAAATTAAACTTTAATCAAATCCCCACTTAACAAATTAAAATGCTCTTGGAACATAATCTGTGTGTGTGTGTGTGTGTGTGTGTGTGTGTGTGTGCAACGAGATAGAAGAAGAAGTAAAATATATCTAAAGGATATCCTAACAATATGATAATGCTGACCCTGTCAGTCAATCGACTAGATTACATTTTTCAGTTTTCAGAAGAATTCGTGGAAAAAAACGAGCAAGAAGAACAAGATGAGAAGACGCCAAATTGCGATTTCTAAAAATCCTTAAGTATCAAAGAGGACGTCGCTATATCAACGAGATACTACTTCGAGCGTACATTATTTTCGTTGGATCTTCAAATCCTTCGGCTAGGATTGATCCGATTTCCATCGACGATCGGCGGATTCGAAATGAATTTTACTCACAAATTGATGGTCCCTCGATAGTATTGCATCGATTCTCGCCGCCGCTGTTCGTTCTCCGCGTCCTCTCTTTCACCGTACTTCAAAACCCTTAATCGGAAACCGAACGAGGCGTCGTTTCGTTTTCCATTTCGATGTCCCGCGAATATCGATTTTACCGGACAACGAACGGAGTTTTTTATCGTTTTTATCATGGACGAAAGGAATGTCGTTAGAATAGCATCGTACGCGTTCCGATGCGGATAAAATTGTCTTCTTAGCTTAGGACGATGTATCCCTGTAAATGTAATTCGAGAGTATTCGAGAGTTCGTCTCTTTTCCAGCTTTAAACGCGACTTTAACATCCACTTTTTTTTCCTATATAATAAACCTCACTTTTTGGGGCCAATCTCGCACGAAGAACGAAACGATCCTTGATCGTTTTACAGGAAAGATGACGTTTCATCTTCGAACACGTGTTCGTTCTTTGTTTGTTCTTTTTCGTTCGATTATTTGGATCGTGATTTGAAATGCGTTTGAAATCGTTTGCTTACCCAGAAATGAGAATACGATGCGTTGGTGTTCAACGATGAAGGATCACTGTTGTTGTCAATCTCTAAGACGAGAGTATTTCCGTTGTTTCTATATATTTCATGGATCATCCCTTCCTTTCACTAGCTCGATCAAACGAATCGTGAATTTTCTTATAAGTTTACGAAAGGAAGGGAGAAACAATGAATTCGTCATCGTTATAGATCTATTTCCAGACGGATCGATATCGACCTACCGACGAGAATTCGCACCTTGGAGAAATTGCTTCTTTGGTCTTTTGCACGACGTGTCGTTAACTGGAAACAGAAATTCGAACTATGATTAATAATCCGAGAATATTGAATAAATAAAATTAAAAAAAAATTGTCATTTCTATCCTCTTCTAACTTCGTTTCTCTCGATTCTAACCTATAATACTTTCCTTCTAACAAATTCGAATGTTTTCAATATTCACTATAAGCTAAACAATTTTATAATTCTAATTCAAATTCGAGTATTTTCGCTCGCTATAATTCACATTTTAGTTTAAATAAACTTAATAATAATAATAAATTTCAATAATTCAAAGATCTTCCAAATCCTCGCCAGTTACCAACAGTATTCAACGACCTACTTGATCGTAACCAGCGACACGAGCGCCAACTGTTGCCCAACGAATCGAACGAATCTACTGTGGCGCATCTAGGTCGTTGCTGGGCTCATCGTTCTCCCTCTGGCAGGCGGACTCCAAGTGTTTATTCAAGTAAGACTTGAGCGCGAACGATTTGTGGCACTTGTGACATTCGTAATTCTTGTCCGCGGAATGGGTCTGCATGTGGGCGCGGAGATTGGACCGATCGGCGAACGCTTTGCCGCAGTGCGCGCACCCGTAAGGCTTCTCCCCCGTGTGACTTCTCAGATGGCCTTGCAGCAACCACGGCCTGGAGAACATCTTGCCGCACACGCCGCAACTGTGCGTCAGCTTGTGGGTGAGCACGTGCATCGCCAGGGCCGGCATACTGACGTACGCCTTGCCGCAGTGGATGCATTTCTTCGCCGATTGCGAGTCGATGCTACGATGGGTTTGTTTGTGTCGCGACAGGTTCGACGAGGTCGCGTATTGTTTACCTGAAAGCAGAGAATTTCTGTCCTGAATACTGATCCTGACCTGAAAGTACTCTCTTCTCGGATTTCCCTGCCAATTCCTGTCCTCAATCAACAATTTCTCCGACAACCTACCGCACTCGCAGCAGACGTAACGTCCAATTTTCGACGTCTCGGGCGTTTCGACCGGTTCTGTCTCCTGCGTCTTCTGAGCAGGTATGATCTTCTTGTTCTTCGATCTTCCATCGGCCACCAGTAAAGTGTCGTAAGTATAACTGGCCGGTTTCACTTCGGTTTGCTCGGTCACGGTCTGCACCTCCTTGTCCTTCTGACTAGGCTGCGAGTTGGGATTGTTGTTCTCGATATCGCTGCTGCATTCGGAGGTAGGCGGCGTCAACGGTGGCGCCGCCTCTATGCTCTGATGGGATTGCTGTTGTTGAGCTAGAGGTTGGGGCGGTTGTTGTTGAGCGGCGACAATCGGTGTGCACGGAATGGACGGTGTGCTGTAAGTGAGCAGAATCTCTTGAACAGGGGACAGAGGGATGAACACGCTGCCCGTTTGTTGAACTATCGTCGCGCTGGGCTCGTAAATGATGCTCGCGGTGGGCGCCTGTTGTTGTTGTTGTTGTTGTTGGTGATGGTGGTGGTGGTGGTGGTGGTGCGTATAGACGGTCGAGCTTGCCAGGTCGATGGTATTCACCTGGTAGATCGGTTGATCAGGCTGATACACCGTCATCTCTTGTATGTCCGTAGCAGGCGATTCTATCACGCTCTGTGGCCCGATCGCGACGCTAGGTGGCGGTAAAGGCGGGAGAGACCTCGACAGTTCCAACAAGTCGTGAGCAGCTTCGGTCTCGGCCGCGGAACGATCCTTGAACATCGAAGACACGTAATTGGTGATCACGTTGCCGTTATTCGACCTCGATTCGTTGGAATGATCCGTTGTTGTTTCTTCGACGGTGTGATACGGCGTGGCGGTGCTCGAAGGAGGGGAAGGTTCTCCGGGGGGTGAGTGATGTTCGGGCATGTGTTGTTGATAGTTCGTATGAGCTGTTCTGGACGGTGATCTGGGAGCTGTGAAAGGCAACGTGGACGTTGCGTTCTCGACACTCAAGGCGATCGATTCTGTTTGCGACGCCGCTATCGTGCAAGATGAGCCTGTAGTGGCGCAGGTAATCACCGTTGGAGATGTTGCCTCCGTTCGAGCAGTAATCGGAGGCTCTGCGCCCGCATTGCTCGTCGTCATATCCACGTTCGTCGACTCGTCCACCTTGGAGACGTCCTGCTCGAGCGTCTTCGTTCCTGCCTTCGTCGTGTCTTGAGACTGCGTGCTCAGGTATTCTGTAACACGAGATATATCTATTTGACAAGTATCTCTCGATGCGTCCGAGTCGATCTTGATTTTCAGGAGGAAATGACGCTGTTACCACGATTCGATCGATAAATAAAATCTAAAATCTTTGCATTTTTAACTAATTTTTCAAACTCGGGGCAAACTCGATAACTATAGTTGCCTTCTCTCTCTCTGTAAAAGAATAGCGAGCGAAGAAAAGAGAGCAAGGAAGGGGGAAAAAAGCACAAAGGAAGACAGTAACTTTGAGCAAAGCAGTGGAAACCGCATCGTCAACCCCATTTCACCCGTTTAGCCCGCGACAATGCGATATTAACGAGACAACTGAGGAGCGGCGCGTAACTCGATTTCTTAATTTGACTTTTTAATCGAGATTTAACGAGCGAAGTGGAACACGGTCGAAAGTGGGGGAGAGCCGAGTTCTGTTGTCGACGTGCCAACGAAAGAGTGTCGAACATCGTTGGCGAAGTGGTAGCAAGAGGGAGTGATGGAGGAGGATCAGGGATTATGACGGCAAGCATGTTGGAAACGAGGTCAAAGGGGATGGGTGGATGGCCAAGGGAAGTGTACGAGCGAGCGGATATAAAATTTCACGATAACTCGGTTATGAAACTGCGTGTTTCGCTCGAGCAGTGATCCTCTTGTGTCCTCTTGCTTCCCTTTTCTTTTCTAAATCGTTTCGCGAGTCTCGATCGCGCATATTCCCGCTACTTTCCAGGGAAAAAGTTTCTTCTTAACAATTGACGCGACAACGCGTTAAGCCTGTAACTTTTTTTTAAGAGGTTCGAGCTTGCTCTTTCTAGCGATATTAAATTCGTGAATTAATTTAAAGAGCAAGTATTTGGATAATTTTGAAACACTTAATTTTTCAATTTATCAAATCGTTAATTCGTTAAAATTAATCGAACGAATTGTGCTCAATTAATTGAATCGAAGGATCAATCTATCTCGAAAAGAAGATTAAATCTATTTTAAATATATCAATCGATATAAATTGAAATATTTCTTGAAAACTCGTGAACGAAATCTTCGATTCGATAAAATCTATCTTTTATCTAAGACAATTTAAAACCCATTTGCCTAATTCCTCGAGATTTCACGATTGTGATCGTTCGATCGATCAAATGTTGGAGAAGTTAAGGGTATACACGGTCTTTGCTGCTCCGTTAACATCTCCGCCGAATCTTTTGCACGTGATACTTTTTCATTCACTCGTTTACGAAGCATAAATCCTGAACAAAGCAGAGATATAGTTGGAAACTGGTGGCATCGGGACAATTCTAACAATTAATGCAGCTCCGTCGTGGCAGTTACCCGCGAATTACTACGACGTGACGACGTCGGTATCTCCAGGCTTAAATATGGTCCATGATCCTCGCCATTTTTCTTTCTGCGAGTGCACAATTTTATTTTCACATGTATTTTTACACGTATATTTTAACTTTTATTGATTTTTTTTTTTTGAATCGTGTGTTTTCGAAACACATTTAGCCTGGATCAAACATTCGTTTTGTATTTGGAAATAATTTTTAGAGAAAAATTCAAGAATTCATATTGAGAGTTCATATTAATCTTTTTCCAGAAAAGCAGGAGAAAAATATTTTATCTTTAATCGTATTTAATCAAACGATGAAATTGTGATGAATTTGACGAGCGAAATTGAATAACAATTGTTTCTATCATTTTCAAGGAATAATTTTCATCCCTTTAATATAGAAGATTGTAAAATATTTTTAACGAAGTAATTCGAGGTTACAATTCAGCTCAATTGATGGACAAATTATATTAAATAATTTTTTAATTGTTATATTGAATTTAATTTTTCAAAATTCTTGATCGAAAATGATTAACCTTTTATCTTATTGAAAACTATTGAAAAATCGTTTTTGAAGAATCTAATCAGGATTCACGTATATAAATTAATTTTTCTTATTATCAATTTTGTTTTAATCGAATGTAAGAGAACTCAATACGCATATTATAATTTGTGAACTTTGGTAAATTTATTATAAAATATAGTATTGTTTGTAATTTTATTAACATTTCATCTAGATAATAGATAATTCAATTGTGCAACAACGTTTTGATATACGTTTGATATTTGCAAGGAACGACATTAAGAATAGATAAAAATACGGAGGCAATTTTGCTAGCATTTTGCTAGCATGCAGAAACTTTTCTTGCCAACGATGAAACACGCGTCCGTGCAGCGCGCCGACACGAGACGAACGATATATGGCTACAGGGTGAATCAATACAGCGGGCCTTTATGGAACAAATAGTAGAAACATTCGTATTAATTGAACGTAATAGGTTAAAATATCGATCAATTTTTCTTTAATCATTTACGATATTTCTTTTTCTTTTTTTTTTTTTTATTTAGATATTTATACGCAAGTGTCTTGTGTTCAATTGACGTCTAAGAAAAGTGCACGTTACATTTTATAAAAATTTTACAAATAGGAAAACAATGTAGCAATCAAAGAGGCAATTGATGTAATATATTTGAAGAAGATGAAAGAAGGTTAATGGATATGTTATGAAATGCAACGTACGTCTTTTTTCTAGACATTCTTTGAGTAAATTTAGATTATTTATTCTGACAAGCGTGACAAAATGATAGATAAGATATTTTAACTTTAAGAAAAGCAATATAGAAATAATGTTTAAAATTATTCTTGCTACTATAATGAATTCACTCGGAAATCAAATTGATTGAATTTCATTTTTTTTCTTTTGATTTAAATTCTAAGACATACAATTAAGCAATATTTGTATTTTTAGAAACCAATTTTAACATAAGAATGAATCCAAACAAATTTGACAAAGGATAAAACATGTATAAACAACGAGAACGAAGGATTCAAATTTTCAATGCTTAAAAACTCATATCTACCATACTTACTTCGTCGTGACAAATAATCAATCGACACAAAAATCACGAACCTACATCCATTCCATCGTGAATATTCCGCTTATCCTTCGAAGAATCTTCGACGGCTGTTTAATTACCATTACCAAGGAGCCATAATTGGGAGGGACTATGAACCGTACCTTGAGCAACAGGGGGTGCGACGCTCCCTTCTATGGGCGAGACCGGGATCTGCATGGTGGTCGGTGATGGCGTGCTCCTTCCGCGACCCCAGCTCTCAAATCCTCTGGCAACGTTGCTTATGTACTTGTTGCACAGAGCTTTCTTCACCATGTAACAACGCGGCATCTTGGCTGTGTTCGTTTCTTTCCAGTCCTATCAAACTAATTAGAAAACGTTTCAGAGTTTGCTCGCACGATATCTCGATTCCTTCGAAGATAATTTTTAGATCCACGTTTTACCCTTCCACGAGATTATTTATTGTCTCTTCGATGAAATTCGAATATTTGTTCTGTCTTTTTACTCTTTCTGTTCCAAGATCAGATCGATCGAGCACCCGGATCGATGTCGTCCTGGTGGTCTCTGGTGGTAGAGGAGCCACCAGGATTACGATCGATTCACCGATCGATGGCCTCCTCAGCCGAGCACCTCGTTTCGCCTCATCTTCCCTCTAAACTTCCTCTTCTCGTTAACCAATTCCACCTTGTGTCCTTGCTGCGTTGATTGGAACACGGTGTTCCAAATGTGTTTTGTACGGGCGTCTCTCGAGAGGAATTAGCCGAGCTCGGTGCAATTGTATCGATATCGATTGGTCCGAATGGGATAACTTCCGTGTGGCGGGCTACCGGAAACGTATGATTCCGATCGGAAGTTGCCGCGTGTGTACATATATTTTGTATGTGTGTGTGTGTGTGTGTGTATTTTAATTCTAGACGTCGTTGCACGATTCAAAGGGAACTACGTGTATATACACACTTATCTTTGCGTATATAACTGTATGTATATATATATATATATAACTATGTATGCCTGTGTATAGACACAGTACGCGCACAGATACGCGTACAGATTTATTATTAAAATTTTTATATTAAAATATCTCTTCGGCGAAACGAGTCGATGCAACTCGAGGCCCGACTGGATACTTCTTCCGGTCGTCTTGGGACGAGTATCCGGAAGTTCGCGCTGGAAACTTCGTTTCGACTTGGGAAACACTTGGCCCAAAAGCGCGGCGTGTGCTTCGCAGTCGAGATCGTTTCGGTGAGCCGGGTATTTATACGTAGAGAGCAAGAAAGGAAAGATTCAGTTTCTTGCTTTGCTTCTTCTTCTTCTTATTTTTTAATTTTCTTCCTCTTTCTATTTTGTTTCCTTTTTTCTCTTCTTTTTTTTTTTTTTCTTTTATTAGATTCTCTTTGTTCGCTTTACCTTGTTTGTAGTATTGCTTTCGTTGTATTCGCGGGTGGAAGATTACGTTTTCCTTTTCCCCCTATTCTCCGCCTACCTCTGCCCTGTTCTCCGCTCTCCGTTGCCTCCGGTGCTCGTTCTCCTTCCTTGGACAAATCTTCCAGCTTCTACACGCCTCATAATTAATAAATAAATAATTCTAACGAACCTATGCTATCCCTTTTTTTAATGTTCGCAGTTCGTAGTAGTAAAAATGTACGTGTACTTCATATCGTTTGTCTCTCCCTCTCCCTCCTCTCTCTCTCCCTCTCTTTCTCGATTCGTTCTCAACTCCGACAGTCTACTCGCCTGGCTGATCCGAGCACCGTTCCATTACGCCGGCAACACTTTCGCGCAATATCGCGTTGGTCGGGCGTGTCCATTCTTGCGACAATACCCTCATCTCGCCGATTTCGAGAATGCGGCGAGCCCGGGGCAAATATTAATGGTCGACGCGGCTGTTATCCGCTTAATTGTTGAGAAATCGATCGAAGTCGAAGAACGAATCTTATCTTCCACTTGCTGTTGACGAATTTTTCTTTACGATGCCGTAGAAGAGGAATTTATCGTCAAAGATGCGTGCATATTCGATTCGTTTCTTCGTTTCGTTTCAATACATCCGCGATTCCATGGCGAAGAAAACCGAAATTCAGAGGCGAAGAGAGGCGGCGAGAGATGTTGTTCAAGCGTTCGAGTTCAGCCTCGAAGTTCAAAGTTCAGATGTTGTAATAACTCCTCTTTTTTCGAAAGGCGAAAGTGACTTGTGCGTCGCGAAGGCAGGCGAGGTGTGCCTTTTGCAGGGACGAGCAACAAGTTGGACAACAGGTCCGCGATGTTTGTGTATCCGTACGTGTGCGCTGTCGCCTTACGTGTGTAGTCGATAACTCCCCCTGGTAAGTGGTCCCCTCTCCCCTTCTCTCCTCCTCGCTCTCCCACTCCTACCTCCGTCCTCTTGTCTTCTCTTCTCTCTCTCTCTCTC